AGGAGTGAATTCCATCTTGTGTAGTTATGTTCCTAGCTCCCCACTTAGTCTCGTCCCCAAAATGATAGGATTGTTGAGTCGGCGACTGGGGCCACTCTCACCCATACAGATCAAAGGACGAGCCCTTACGAGTAGGAGTTCATAACTCACTCATGATTGAGAATGAGTTGCCTTACATGTCTCCACACGAACGATCTAGATTGAGAATTATGATTGTCGGTGAAGACAATGAGTGCAGTATTTGTTGGATTTGAGTTATTTTCTGCTTATTCTTGCAGAGGACTTTTGTTTGATCTAGATATTCATCCACAAGTTTCGTAATGACTATTAGGCTTACCAATCACTCTTTGTTTGACCCTCGAGGATTTCTCCAAACGGTACCCCACGTACCCGAGTATCTCCACAATGGTATGATATTGTCCGCTTTGGGCATAGTCCTCACGACTTTGTTTTTTGTTCCACCCAAAAAGTCTCATACCAATGGAGATAATTGTCCTCTCTTATATACCTATGATCATTCCCTTCCCTAGCCAATGTGGGACTTTGTTTGCAATCACCTTACAAACCCAACAGTATACAAGTTAGCTTGAGTTGGGTTAAAAATATAGGTGTATTTGGACCGTCACTGTCTTCAAATAAGGTACATCAATTAATTGACATACCTATTACGTAATACATCGAGATATATCAGTTAAGCTATATATCTTATACGAAGCACATCACTGATATCATATCCTTTATCAGTGATATACTTATACCCTATATACCTTATACAAAACATATCAAGGTATATGTGGGTGATAAGCATAACAGAAAAATCAGACAAAATACATGGGTTACATAGACTTTTAATAATCATAATATATTAAAGGTAAATTACACTTTTGGTTCGAAGATTTGGACTTGCTTTTATTTGGCTTATTAAGTGTCAAAATCGACACTTTTAGCTCGTCCTTCGGGTTCATAGTTTTGTTTTTATTTGTTCCCTCAAGATTTAAAGTGATATTTTTAGTCTCTGAAAGTGTTGATTAGTTTTTACTTGGTCCTTTAATCAAGTTGAGTATTAATTTATTTTAGTGTGCGAATTTAACATTTGTTGAAGAAAATTTTAGATGGAAGAAGTTCATCAGTGGGAGGCCTCCCACTGCTTCATGGTTTTTGTTCAACAATACATTGAGAACAACAGCAAACCTAGTCACAAATTACAATGACATGAGGTCAACAATCTAGGTCAATACGGAAACTACCATACCATATCTCACTGCAAAATCGATTAACGATAAACTCAATTTAATAATTAAATAGAAACAAAATTGAAAGTTTTGAAACAAAAAAATTTTACTTTTTGAAGCCATAGAAATCAAATAGAGGCAAAATTTAAACATCAAAGACAAAAGATGTCACCTTTGAAATTTTAGAGAGCAAATAAAAATAAAATCTACCGTAAAATTTTAGGAATTAAATATAAAACAAGTCCAAATATCATGGAATAAAAAATTTAGATTGATCTAAGAATAATAAACCAAATATTTCTGATCAATACGACCAAAAAGAAGGTGGATAGGTATATGTGAGTCGACCAACATTAAATATTTGGTCTTTAGAAAATAATTGTCATTTCTCAAACAACTATTGTTGAAATTTTCATATAATGCCAAACATGGGGTAGATATACATATATTTCATTTTAAAAAGAAGGAAAATAAAATCTACAAGTTAGATCTTTTTTTTTTCCTTTTTAATTTCATGAGTTGCAATTAATTATTGTATGTAGATTACTTTAGGATATGCTTGTTGGGATCTATATTCTTAAAACAATATTAAACATGATCTAGATTTTCTAAATATATTTTATTGAATTATTGATTTATAATATAGAATCTTATTTTGGACATAGTTAACTAACATATGGGTTTGATAGAAATACTCTTTTTTTATTTTTTTATTTCTAAGAATTTTTTTTTCAAAATTATATAAATATTTTAGAAACAAAAAATATAGCTTAGCATTTATTGTTTTTAATTTATTAAATAAATTATACACAAATACTATTTTGATCCATACTTATAAATTTTATAAGTATAAACAAAATACATAATATATCTATTTAGTACAATGAAAATATGTATTCGAATCCATGATTTTTTGGTCAGAGCTATAATATATTTTAACCAATTGAATTATAATTACAAATGAAATAACAATTATAAATACAAATACCTTATCTTAATAAAAGTTTTTCTTTTTTTAGAGTACTATCTTAAAAAAATAAAAATAAAAAGGTGTTGATGTAAAAGTATCATTTTAAGATCGAAAACTGGAGGGAACAAAGATCAGAATAATTCTAAAAGTTTAACAATGAACGAAATAGTGATTGCATGATATATATATATATTTAGAATATTACATCGCCTGTGAGGTCAACAGATTTGAACGACTTCTAAGAAGTAGAGATGTTTTAATCATTAAGTTATGTTGGAAAGTGAAGAGGAATCAGATGAAAACATTGTTGTGCCTTGGTTGAACCACTACCTTGAAAACAATTTCGGCATGATCACGGTGCTAAATCGTATGTACGTCGGTTGCTCCCCAAGGTTAACACAACTCCGAACTCAGGCGTGCACTCGCTGGAGCCGGATGTAATCGAAGAAGTTGCTCAGAAATTCTATCAAAAGCTCATAATATTCCCCATGCATAAGTAAGCTTGAGTTCCTTTAAAAATAGAAAAGAAAAAACGTTTTAACTTTATTAATTAAAACGTTACAAAACACAATTAATTAATTAATTAAACCGTTGAATAATTAATTTTGTAACATTCAAATAATTAAAAGGAAATAAAACGTTTTTTCAAAACCATAAAAGAGATATTTATTTAACCTTTTTGTCCATACACTTTGTGATTTCCAATAAGCTATACTTGTTGATGTCAATTTTGTGATGAGGTTTACTTAGTTGCCATGCAAGTGCCACGTATGTCTTCATCCCCGAAAATCAGATGCCTGCAAAAATAAAAATCTCGGTACTAGAATGATGAATTTTGGAATGCAATCTAATGCCTAAGTTAGAACTCAAATAGGGGCAAACGAATATAGAGCAGAAAGAATAATTAAGGAAGCAAGAATCTCGAGTGTGAGAAACTGCTTGCTGAATCTTCGCAAGAAGTTGTTTAGGGGAATGTGGTTTACCTTCAGGGTTGTTCTCTTTCTTATATATGGAGATAGAGACATGTTCGAGAGAGCTTCCCCTCGCCTCAAAGGTGTATGTGCGAGTACTGATATGTCGTGCCACGGGTCTGGGGAATCACCAACATTCTCTGCTTCTCACAGTACTACGGATAGGGGGGCTTGGTGGCATCCTAAGTGGTCTCGTGAGGTATATCACAGTTTGGATACAGAGTGTGTCAACACCATCTTGGCCACTAATTGTCCTCTGTATAGAGGACATCCAAGAGCACTCGACCTCATTCTCAATGTGGTCCGCGTGCCCAGTTGTTTTCTCGACTCAATCCATGTGGCTTAATTGGCTTTCCGCACAATTTTTTACCCAATAACTATAGTCATATTCGCAATTATCAGGAGATTATAAAATATATGAACATACATTGACTTTGAAAAGCTCTTATAAATGTAGTTATTGACACACTGACATGCCCACATTATACTATCTACCTTATATTTGGCAGCATTATACATTCAAATTTCTTATTCAAACCAATTTATTCCTTCTTGTTTTTTTATTACAAGTGGAACACATCTGCACTCTTCTATAAATACAAGGAAGAAATGCGAGTTTAAAGAAAGGCAAACAAAATTCATTGGTGAAAAGCAAAGGACTGAGAGAGAATGGAGCCGCAACCACCGAAATACTTAGCTCTGAAAGCAAAGTACAACGGGAAGTATATACGTTACCTCGATGAAGGACAACTTTGAGGTGCCCTCCAATGCTCTGCAGATGCAGTGGTGAGCCCATTTACCAAGTTCGAACTAAAGACTTCCAAGAATGACAAAAAATTTGTACACATCAAATGTTGTTACAACAACAAATATTGGATTACTTTCTCCCCCAACCTTAAATCCATTCAACCTTTGGCAGACGAGCCCGACGAGGATCGATCGAAATGGTCGTGTACGTTGTTTGAGCTCATCTACGATGCCGATCTTCAAGTTTATCGGATCCGCCATGTCAAGCTTGGGTACTTCTTGATCCCACATACAGGCCCCATTGCCGCTGACTATACTATATATGCAGGAACTGCCACTCCTGACCCCAACAATTGGGATGTCTTCGCTGCGATCGACTTCCAATCTCTGCTCGTGTTGCCGAAACTCGTGGCTTTCAAAGGCGACAATGGACAATACCTCCGCGCTGCGATGCAAGAACATCATGAGTATTTAGAGTTCTCTGGTACTAGCATTGGAGATGATAAGGCTGCACACGAGATCCTTATGAACGACGATGGAAGCGTTCGCGTCAAGTCGAAGTTCTTCGGGAAGTTTTGGAGGCTAAGTCCAAGATGGATTTGGGCCGATTTGACCGATGCGAGCTCGGACAATCCCGATACATGCTTTTGGCCATTCAAGTATTCTGAAGACAACACGATTGCGTTAAAGAATCTGGGAAACAGCTTGTTTCGCAAGAGACTCACTGTGGAAGGCAAAACAGACTGTTTGAATGCTTCTGCCTCCAATATGGGTTCAAGCGAGACAAAGCTGACAATTGAAGAACTGATACATTCGAGGGAGATAGAAATTGTGGAGTTTCGAACAGCAGAAGCCAAAATCTACCACGAAACGATCGACATGAAGAATTACACTAATATCGAAAACAATGGGAGCGAAGATGTGCATGAGGAATTCCAGTTTAGTTTTAAAGACATTGCAACGGGGACTTTCAGTACAACTCTATCATTGAAGGTTGGTGTCAAAACCACCATCGAGACCAAAGTCGTGCCTTATATCTTCGAGAATAAGATTGAACTGTCGGCGGAGTTTGCAGGATCATTTACATGGGGAAAAACTTACACATTTGAGAAAGAGTTCAAGAATTTATTCAAGTTTACGGTACCTCCAAAGAAGAAGGTGAAAGCGAGGCTAGTCGCGACCAAGGGATCTTGCAATGTTCCATTTTCGTACACTCAAAGAGACACTCTTCTGGATGGGCGAGTGGTTACTACAACGATACATGATGGAATGTTCTATGGAGTCAACTGCTAGAGTATCCACGGTAGAGTTGATGAGGTATGAAGATGATGCATTTGTGTGAAGGCTTCCTCTTCCCAATCAATAATCGCTCTTCACTTTCATTTCCAAGTGTGTTTTTATGTCCGTTTTGTGTTGAAAGCATGTGTTTGGTTCCTACATCACCTGTTTGCTCTAGAAAAATAGAATTGGCTCTTGTTTGCTAAGTTCTCATTTCAACTATATGGAATGGGGTTGACCTTAGCTGGGTATACGGAAACACTCAGTAGACTAATTGTCTAACATAGGCAAAGATTCGTTGCTGGGTGAAAGTTGCATCCCATGTAATTTGAATCGAAGACCTCGAGATTATTCCTTGAGACCCCAAGCCACCCAAGCTAGCCTTTGGGGACAATTTATGAGAGAGTTTTATATACATATATATATATATATAGACATACACATATACATATATTGTAATATTCATAATGCAGTATTTTTTACAATGTAATATTCTCACATCACTTAATTTAGTTTAGATAAGTTTCGATAGAGTGTGATTCTAGTTTACATTGCGTGATCGTTTAGACTCATAGAGATTTTTATTCTACAATTCCTGTCATTTTTCAAGTTCAACGGAAGATTTAACGACCTTTGAGTCAAATGGAAGATCAAGACTTGAGAGTAAAAAAATATACAAGAGAGGAAAATAGGGTGAGATTCAAAATGGAATATATGAAAAAGTTGAAAATCCTAAATGGATATTAAATGAATGGCTAGGATCAAAACAAAGTGGAAGGTTGAGATTGAACATAGATATTTTATGATATATTTATAATTAAAAAAATACACATATAGGTATATATACGAGTTGGGCCGGGTTGACCCAAATTTTTTAGTGATGAACCTGCAACCGGACCCAACTTGGTTTGGTTGGGTTCAACTTCATCGAGTTGTTGGATTTCTTGAGCACTCCTAGCTTTGACGAAAAAAAAAGGGAAAAGTACACTATTGGTCCCTGAGGTTTGAAGTAATTGTCTATTTGATCATCTTCAGAGTGGTTTCAAAATGGACACTTTTGGTCCCTAAATTTGAGAAATAATTTTAAATGGTCCTTGAGATCCTTTGAACCTTAGTTTGCCTTAGCAGAATGCTTAGGTGACAAATAAATACTTATTGTGGCAATTTTAAATTAGGTGGCAAAAATATACTAATTTTATATTATGTTGTGTTCATTGGATTGCTGATGTGGCTATATCTTCTCCGTTGATCTCCTTTCTTCTTTCATTTCCCTCCTTCCTCCTTTTTCAGCTGACTTTCCCTCTGCACGCTGCCGTCCGAAACAGTCTGTTGACCGATGCCAACAATAGCAGGCGGTGGCACCAGCGAAGCGAGAGTCATCGAACGACGGTGGTGTAGAGGCAAAGTCTGTCAGAGAAGAAGAAAGAAGGGGGAAAACAAAGAAGAAAGGAGAAAATAGAAGATAAAGCCACGCATACCGTCCAATCAAGACAACAAAATGTCAAAGCATAAAAGGTTGAGCATTAAAATGAAAAAATGAGATTTTGAACCATGTTTTTGAAAAACTATTTTTTTAAAAAAAATTTTATATCAAATTTTAAAAAATAGAAAACAGTAAATTGAATGGGTTCTGAAACAAACCTAAAACTAAACAAAGAAAAACTAATCAGAAAAACAAAATGGTTATCCATTTTATTTTTTGCTTTTTTTGTTTTTCAAAACTTTTTTTTCTGTAACAAATTTTTTCCTCACTCCAAAATTTTTCGTTCCTAAATGTCTCATTAAAAAGTTTATTTTCTCTCTCAAATTTTAAACTCGGTAGATTTTTATTTTGGGGCAACTTGAGATATAACAAAAAACGTTAGGAAAATAAGCGCAACAAGGTTTTAGTTTTTCAAATATAACATTTTTTTGCAAAAAAACGGAGGCCCACGTTCTAAATTACAAGTATACCCTACAGGCCCAAACCAACAATAAATTACTTCTGATTGACTTCTGATATACTAATGATTGACAGATATACTCCTGATATATATGTGATATATGTTTGATATATATATGGTATGAAATTGATTCATTTCTTATATAACTATGATATCTACTATTATATATGTTTGATATACATATGGTATGAAATTGATTTATTTCTTATATAACTATGATATCTACTATTATAGGTGACATAGAATTGMTTGACTTCTGATATACTATTGATTTACTTATGATATAACTTTGATTGACAGATATACTCCTGATATATATGTGATATATGTTTCATATACATCTGATATGAAATTGATTTACTTCTGATACAACTATGATATATACTACTATAGGTGATATAGAACTGATTGACTTCTAATATACTATTAATTTACTTATGATATAACTATGATTGACAGATATACTCTTGATATATATGTGATATATGTTTGATATACATATGATATGAAATTGATTTACTCCTGATATAACTATGATATCTACTACTATAGGTGATAGGTGATATAGAATTGATTTACTTCTGATATACTATTGATTTACTTCTAATATAACTATGACTGATAGATATACTCTTGATATATATGTGATATATGTTTGATATACATATGATATGAAATTGATTTATTTCTGATATAACTATGATATTTACCAATTATTTCGAGTATATTACCTCTAATATATGTTTTCTGATATACTACTAATATATGAAATAATTTTTTTTTCAGATAAAAGCAATGGTACAAACACGAAAAATGAAATAAAAAAACATCGTCGAAAATGTTGATGTCGTTCGTCCCAAAAGACAACATAAACGAACGCCAAAAGTGTTATCTATGGAAAAACGGAAAGCTTTAAGGATATTATCTCCGAAGACACGACAATCACCAAGAACGAAGAATGATGTACCAACAATCACCAAGAACTTACGCTTTTCTAGACTGTTGGAACTTATGCTTCTGGAACTTATGCTTCTTCTTTTATAGAATTTTAAGAATGACATCATTAGTCTACTTTTGGTTTATGCTACTGGTTCGTTTTGATGTTTAAACCTTTAAGTTTTTTGTTGAAGGACTTTGCTACTGATTTGATGTCGATGTTGATACCCAAGAATGATGTTTAAACCTTTTAAGAATGATATTGTTGCTGATTTCGTTTTGATCTTTAAAACTTTAAAAACTTAATTGTACTATTGATATATGTACGATGTATACTTGATATATCACTGATATATTATTGATATACATAAAAACCCTGAATTTCTATTTACCTCTAATTTCTAATTGATTTCTCATTCACAGTAATTTCAAAAATCACCATTGACGTTCACATTCATGTTCCTTTCAAGTTTTCTTTCTCATTTTCAGTAAGTATCAAATTTTTTTCTCATTTTCCATGCATGCCAATACCTACTGATTTCTAATTGATTAAAAAAAAGGTTAAAGTAGATAAAATAGTGATTTACTATTATACAATTGATATAGAACTGATTGACTTCTGATAGACTATTGATTTACTTCTGATATACTAATGTTGTCAGATATACTCCTGATAAATATGTGATATATGTTTGATATATATTGACGAAGCAATAACTAAAAAGGATAATTTGGGAATACTGAAAAATTTAAAATCAGAATTTTCAAAAAACTGCTATATCTGAAAATATAAAAAAAACATGCTATTTTATTAAATATAGAAAACGTATATGCTACCCATTACAAAAATCCCTTTTTTTTAATACGTCTTTCTCATTTCTCTCTCTGAAAATTTAATATTTTTCCGAATTTTTCTCTCTTTCAAATTTCGCCATTGTAACTTTTTTTTTCTAATGTATACTTTGTTCTAATACGTCTTTCTCATTTCTCTCTTTGAAAATTTCATATTTTTCCGAATTTTTCTCTCTTTCAAATTTCGCCATTGTAACTTTTTTTTTCTAATGTATTTTTTCTTTAAAAAATATATCTCCAATTTTTCTCTATCTAAATTTTCAGGATTAATTTTCTTTCACTAAAACTTTTATTTTATATATATTTCAAAATTTTGCTCACTATAATGTTTTATTTTTCGTCTTAATTTTCCTTTTTTTTCTCTAAAATATCTTTTGTTCTCAAATTTACTTTTTTTCTAGATTTTCTCTTTTTGTATTTTAACTTTTTTCTCACTTAATTTTTTTTTCTCTAACTTATTTTATTTAAATCTTTTTCTTTTACCTCTCTAAAATTTACCCTCTCTAAAATTTATCTTTTGAAAATTTTATTTTTATCTCTCTAAACTTAGTATTTTCATGTCCATTAGGGATGATAAAAATTCCTGTAGGGTTGGATTTGAGTTTACATTGTTCTTTGTTTCTGATGTGTTGCCATTTGAGTTTAGGTGGGTAGGTTGTCTGTTGTGATAGAACCCTATTCCTCTAGATGTAAATTGTCCTCCTCTCCCTCTACTTCTTCCACGACTGGAGTAGAATGCTTGATTAAGGTTCACTTGTCCTGCTTTTTCTTCTTCTTCTTCAATGACTAAAAATTGATCATGTGCTTTCAAGGCAAGTATGAATTGGTTAGAAGAAGGATAGGGTGGTTTGGACAACATGGCTGTCCTAAAATCCTTATATCTGTGTCCTGGTCCTCTTGCTAAGCGAAATGTTTTTGTTATTTCATCTAGAGGTTTTCTCCATTACCGCTAGCTTATCGCACATAACTTTTGAAGTTTCTTACATATTCATCTAGCGACAAAGACCCTTTCTTTAGGGTGAGCAAAGCTCGATTCAAGTGTATTTCATTCTCTTTAGTCATAGTTAAGAAAAGATCTTCAAGAGAATGCCATACTTCCTTTGTCGTTTTTGTTCCTTCAAGTAAAGCCAACACATCTTCGCCAATGATTCGTAACAACCAAGAGGTGAGTAGGCCATCATTGTTAGTCCATGTTGATGAGGTGAGGATCATTTATTGATTTTTCATCTTCATCTCTACTGATTTTTCAGCATCATATGCATCTTTTGTGAGGTGGTGTTCAAGTCCAAGGGTTCTGATCAATGGCAGTACTTGTGATTTCCACAGTAGATAGTTTTGATAGTTTGAAGAGTTCAGTTTGATGGATATGAGGCTAGCGCACTGGTGGAATGTCTGAATACTCAATGGTGTTTGTTGGTTTGCCAATGAGTTGTTTCTGGATTTCAGAGGAGAGGATTGAGAAGAACCAAATCAAAGAATACTATTATTTCTGTGTAAGCTCTGATACCATAAAGAGGATTTAGCTTAATTCAAAGTCTATTGCTTAAAGAATAATTGCACATAGGAAAAGATGTGTATTAGACTAAAAATCTTGATTAGAAATGCTAAACCCGAGGGTGCATTTTAACATACACAGAAAGAATATTTAAGACATTTTCCATCTAAGGAATATGCTTTAATGGCAGGAATTACAAGGCAATATGCTTTTCTAAAAGGAAAAGAAATTCAACGGTCTAAAATGTAATTAAATAGTGTCAAGAGAATAGGGAAAGGAACTGCACTTTCTGTCATTTCAGTAATTATAGGAAGATAATTGCTGATTTGAAGAGGGTGCAGATTTCCTTTTGAAGAAGAGTTTATTTGGGATTTTCAGCTGGTTGTATCTTTACTGTCATGAGACTATTTCATTGATGTCATTGATGAGTTTGTTTATCTGGCTGTGTTAGTTGGCTGCTGGTATGTTGAGGTCTGTTGTGTCCTTGTTGTTTTCTTTATCAAAATCAACTTGTACAAGTTCAAAGAAATACTAACTACCCAACGTAAAGCCCATAAAAACCCTAAAATAACTCAAAACACCCAAAATACTAGACTCAAAATCGACTTATCACGGACATAAGACATATTTTATAGGAATAAATTATCGGGAGGAAACGAAACATAATCGGAGTGATAGTAAATCAAAGCCCAAGAGAATAGGACAACATCACATTACTTAATCAAGTTCAAAAACCTAAGAGGACAGCACCACAGTGCTGCCCTAGAGTGTTGCGATTCTCCGAAGTTTTTATTCTGCGTTTTTTATAATTGTGTAACGCCGTGGGCTCTGTCTACAACACCACAATACTATTGCGACAATTTTTTTTATTAATAATAGGGTTTTATTGCCGTCGAGGAGACGAATTGGAGAGAAGTTTTTTTACCAATTTGCCTTTTTGGCCAATTTGGGAGCGCAAGGAGACCATCAGAGAGCTAAGAAAAGAGATTTTCAAGGCTCGAGATCATGTAGGTCAATTCAAATATGAACGATTGACACGCCAAACTTAGTTTCTTTTCCTTTTCCTTGATTTTTCTTGTTTTGTTATGGAACTACGCTCACTGAAATTGTGTTGTTTTACATTGAACATGAGTAACTAAACCTCTTATCTTAGGGATTGATGTAGCTATTGAACTTTATGGATTGATTGTTTAATTCTCTTAATCGAATGTTTATGAATGTTTTATTTATGTTTATCTATGCTCAATGCATTTAATCTACTGGTCATAGATTGATTGATACTAGACTTGAAATCTTATGCTCCAGAGACGTGGTTTAGAGTTAGAACTGAAATGCGCATAACTAAAGGGCTTTTAAGATCGGGATATTTAAGAAGTCATTTAGAGGTAGTTAAAAGACTTATTCATTAAAGCCTTAAGACATAGGTTATTCACTAAAGACGTGGTTTTAGAGATTAGCTTATTATTGAAACTAGATAGAAAAATTGGTTTCTTAATTAGTAAGAAAAATTAGCTTGCGTTAGTGAGAGATAGTTGAGATTTGAGAGGTTTTGGCTTATAGAATTAATAGTTCACACAATCTTTAGTAATTAAGTAATTGTTTCATAGATTCAAGAGATGACATCAATTGATCCGTATGGTATTTCTTCCCTACGATTTTTCTTTTTGTTAGTGCATGTTTAATAGCTTTAATATTCTATTCTTTCATTCACATTCGATTTTCTAGATAAAATTAAGCAATCTTATATATGGTCTGAAACGAGCTAGAAATTCAAACTAGAGGATGATATCGAAATTCACTTACCATTTATATTAAAACTTGACATGTACAATGCGGTAAGAATTTTAGCTACACAAGAGCTCGAGGGATTACATAGAATTCGAAATCCAAATATTAGGTAAGTGTCATTTTCTCAAATAATAATAAACCAAATATATCAGATAAATACGGACTAGATATCTTTGTAAATGAGTCAACCAACATTTAATATTTGGTCTTTAAAAAAGAATTGTCATTTTCTAAAGAACTATTGCTGAAATTTTCATATAATGCCAAATATGGGATAGATATACAATTTTTTATTTTATTTTGAAAACTAGGAAAATTAAATCTAAGAAATTAGCTCTTCGATCTTATTAATCTCAGAATTTGCAACTTGGATGTAGATCAACTGTAGAATATGCTTTGGGAACTATTTTAAAATGAATGTTAAACACGAGTAGATTATCTAAATATATTATTTCCTTCAAAAGTAGCATTGATTTATAAAATAAAAATTTGTTGTAGACATAGTTAATTAAGAGATAAATATTATGTATTTCTCGTTTCTCCTATTTAAAGAATGTTTTTCTCTAAATTGTGTAGAAATTTTAGAAAAAAGAAACAAAATAGCACAGTATATCTCTTTTTTTTTTTTTTTTTGCAATAACTTATATACAAATGCTATATTTCCAATACTTTAAAATTTATGATAAGAATTAAAAATAAAAAATACATAATAATTAAAAATAATTATCTCAAATAAATATTTTTTGAAGTTAAGTATCATTTTCTAATCTAAAACTTTCGGATGGAACAAAAGGATAATTAGAAATAATTATATAATGAACACAATAATGATTATATGATTTTCTCTGTGGCTGGGGAGATTTTAACCTACCAGTTCATAGAGGGAGCATAGATATTTTATACGTGGAGTTATTCCTCATGTAACATTTTAATTCAGTTGAAACGTTTTTATTTACTTTATTTTAAAATTAAATCAAGTGTTGTTCTTGGATCAAGCATATGATGTAGTACCGTAGTCATGCGGGATCACACAATCTCTTGATTAGATATATATGTCCATTATCGCTGAGCTAGACTCGCTTTGGCAATATGATTTAGCAGATTTAATGCAAATGAAAAACTATAAGATATATGAACATAAATGAAGTTTGTTATCAGCCCCACACCCACATGCCTATCTACCATGTATTTGGCAGCATTATATTGAAATTTCTGTGCAAACTGAAGTCTATTTCTTTTTTCTTTTTTCTTTTTTGTTTTTTTTTTTAAATAGAATGGAACACATATGTTATAAATATATAATAAGGAGATGCAAGTTAAAGAAAGGCAGAGAAAAATCATATAATTTGTGGGAGTGAAAGGAAAAGGAAGAGATCAAAAAGAAAGGAGAGGAAATGGAGCCTCAACAACTGCCGCAATACTTAGCTCGGAAAGCAAACTACAATGGAAAGTATGTACGTTACATAGATGAAGGACAACTGCGAGGGGGGCCTCCAATTCTCTGCAGATGCAGTGATGAGTCCATTTACCAAGTTCGAATTAGAGACTTCCAAGAATGACAAAAAATTTGTACACATCAAATGTTGTTACAACAACAAATATTGGATTACTTTCTCCCCCAACCTTAAATCCATTCAACCTTTGGCAGACGAGCCCGACGAGGATCGATCTGAATGGTCGTGCACGTTGTTTGAGTTCATCTACGATGCCGATCTTCAAGCATATCGGATTCGTCATGTCAAGCTCGGATGCTACTTAATCCCACATACAGGCCCCATTGCCGCTACCTACACTCTATATGCAGGAGTTGACACTCCTGACGCGGACCACCATGATGTCTTCACCGTGACCGACTTTCGATCCTTGCTTCCGATGCCGAAACATGTCGCTTTCAAAGGCGACAATGGCTGCTACCTCCGCGCCGCGATGCAAGAACATCATGAGTATTTAGAGTTCTCCAGTACTAGTATTGGAGATGATAAGGCTGGATACGAGGTCGTCGTGAACGACGATGGAACCATTTGCATCAAGTCAAAGTTCTTCGGGAAGTTTTGGAGGCTAAGTCCGAGCTGGATTTGGCTGATTCGACCGATGCAAGCTCGAGCAATCCCGATACTTGCTTTTGGCCTTACAAATACTCTGAAGACAACACGATTGCATTAAAGAATTTGGGCAACAACTTGTTTTGCAAGAGACTCACTCAAGATGGCAAAACAAGCTGTTTGAATGCTTCTGCCGCCAATATGGGTTCAAGCGAGAAAAAGTTGGTAGTTGAAGAGCTGGTACTTTCAAGGGAGATATACAATATCCAGTTTCGATTTGCGGAAGCGAAAATCTACGACGAAACCATCGGCACAAAGGCTTACCGTAATTTCGAAAACGATAGTAGCACAGAGGTGCAAAGGAAAATCACGCTGGGGTTTAAAGATACTGTAACGGCGAGTTTCAGTACCACTCTGTCATTGAAGGTGGGCGTCAAAACCACCATCGAAACCAAGCTCATTCCTAATATCATCCAGAATAAGATCGAACTCTCGGCGGAGTTTTTAACGTCGTTTACGTTTGGAAAAACTGAATCATTTGAAAGAGAGATGAAAGATGTGTACAAGTTTACGATACCATCGAAGAAGAAGGTGAAAGTGAGACTAATCGCGACCAAGGGGTACTGCGATGTTCCATTTTCGTACACTCAACGAGACACTCTTCTTGATGGTCGAGTGGTTGTGAGCACCATACACGATGGAATGTACCGTGGAGCCAACTCTTACAATCAACAAGGACATCAAGGGGCTTTCGGCGAGAGAGCCAAAAAAGGATCTTTTGTGTGCACGATAGAATTGAAGACATATGATGATGATCATGCATAATAATCGCTCTTCGCTTTCATTTCCACGTGTGTGTTATGTCTGTGTTTTGGGTTGTGTTGTGTCTTTTGTTGAAACCATGTGTATTTGGCGTTCGTTTCTTAATTGGGGGTGTGGAGGTTTGAATCTCGATGTTCGTTTGTTTGTGAATCATTTTAAAAGTAATTTTAATGCATTGTGAGCTTAGTAATTTTAATGCATTGAGCTTTGTTGTTTTTCAAATGATGTCTCTTTTTAATCATTCTAAAGGACTCTTTGTATCAATATTCATGGACACATTCCATCTCAAAATCAATCGACAATGAGAGAGTGTAGCTCACTTATATAATAAACCTTGGTAAGGCCTATTGTATATATTTTCAATGTGAGATCCATAACATCCTGTTTTTGAATTAAATTACAATAAAGTTTTAAAATCAAACATGAATATTTGTGAACAATATATATAACATTTGAAAATGAGTATTCAGATAGAATCGAAAGTTGGATTGATTCCAGATACTTGGGACCCTATGGATGAAGACATGGTCTCTTTGGATCCCATTGAATTTCATTCAGAGGAGGAAACTTATAAATATCATATTGATTTTTATCAAAGAAACACAGGATTAAYTGAGGCTATTCAAACAGGCACATGTAAATTAAACGGTATTCTTGTAGCAATTGGGGTCATGGATTTTCAGTTTATGGGGGGTAGTATGGGATCTGTAGTAGGCGAGAAAATCACCCGTTTGATCGAGCTTCTTCTCTCGACCATTGTAAGCATCAAGACCTCCAGTTGTACTAAAGTACTCAATGGAAGAAGAGTTCTCGATATTTTCTATTTATTCTGAATACCGTTCTCTCATTGCCACCAACAAATTTAACCTCATACTTATCCTAACATCCAACATAGCATCTAATTGTATACCAAACTTTGTTTTATAGTTTAATCATATGTTGATGCAACAATGAAGGGGTCGAAAGATTTATCCTAAATTTTATAATCTCTGAGCTAGCTCACGAAGAAAGATTGAATAAGTCTTCAAGTTTTTGTACCTCAAGTCTTTCCTACCAAGTTAAACTTGCAGAAAGGAAGATTAACAAATTTAACATTAAAAAAAACGATGGAATCTTGTCCAAAAGAAAAAATAGGCAACATGATTAAAGGAACAAGGAAAAATGGCAATGGAAAAACAATATTATAATAATTATATGGCATTATTTGCAAAAACAAATAATAATTAAAAAAAAACATCCACTTGAAGATAGACGCACTAAAACTTCAGGTTCCAAAAAATTATCACAAAGATAATGGGATGATATTGAAAATCAGAAAGAAAAAGATGAAGACAAATTTTCAACAAACGATAAAGGAGAGATTATTTTTTCCTTTTTTTTTACAGTTGACAAAAATGAATCTTAAAGTTTATGGTATTTGGATAGTTGTTACACTAAATATATAATAGGAAATAATAACGACTTCTTAACGAGGATTAATTATACATGCCAAAGCGAGCATAGCTCAACGGTAGTTGGCATATACCTCCAACGAAGAGACTGTGAGTTCAAATCCCTCCCCCAACATGTTCTACTAAAAAAACAAAAAAAATCAAGATTAATAACACTTTTAGGTCTAAGTAGAGCCTGAATATAACAAGATAGTACATGTACAAAATTGAAGGAAAATGTGTCATTATTGTCCACGCAAAGAAAGTATATCCACAAGGTATATATCTCAAACGTTCTTTATACGTTTGTGGCATAACAAAAAAAAAAGTGTTGGTCAGTTGCTCTAAACTGTGAAAACTCATGCTCAAATTCACAAACAAATGCAAGTAACAAGTCAAACCATAATTTCGAGCAAAAAAATCAAGCAACAATCTCCACCAAAACAAACTTGATTTACATTCCATCAATGAGTCAAAATCAAGCAACAATCCCCACCCGATTCGAAAAATGAGATTCGGCTAAAATCGATGAGTCAAAAAAGTCACAATCTTGAGGGATATGTTAAGGATCAACACTCACCTCATGGCTACTGGGAATCATCACTCAGGATGTATTGTCAATGATATATCAACTTGTAGTAGAAAATTAATTAAATCTAAGAAACGTGCTAATTGTTCCATCTATGAAAAAGAAAACTATTATTCATTAGAGAAAGAGAAATGTTAGTGGTAGAATGTTGTCGGCAGTGTGCCCTTGCGATTTTAGCGTAGGATTTTTCATATTTTATTCCAGAATGACTATTTTAGTGATGCTTAGAAGTTAGGTAGCTATTATTGTGGTATCTAAAGAACGTTGTAGAGCAAAAAGAGAAGCTCGTTGTAATCTTCCCATTATAGTGGATGCCATTATAGATCATGGGTCGTCGTCTCAGACTTGGGCTGAACCACTATATTTTTTAGTATTTACTTTTCTATCCCTATTTGGTATTTCTTTTATTACTGATTAATTTGCAATCTGCTCCGTCTTACCGAAGGAAAAACGAGTTAGATCCTAGTTAGATAGATTTTATTTGAGGACCAGTCATTTTTTTTTATTTCCCAACAGACTTATCTACAAAGTTATGAACGACTTGGTACACATTAAACACCATCATCCATATAGTAAATATTATTATTACCATCATCATTAAATTACTACAATTATACATCACATTGGTTTGGTTTTAGTTTCATATGTGAAGTTATAGCAATTGATGCCATGGTAAACGCCATCGTCCATAGTATTGATAACAATATCCCCATTGATGAGAGTGTCACGTTGTGTATATGAGTAAGGAACATCACATGTGCCCTTAGTTGCTAGCAAACTAACCACCATAGAAGTCATTGGTGGAACAGTTACCTCGTACGTTGTTTGGATTGTCTCGGATGACGTTTTAGTTGTTTCCCATTCGTATGATCCCGAAAACTCAGCTGATATTTCAACCTTTCCATCTGCAATGAGAGGAACTCCCGCTTCAAGTGTTGTACTAACACCTAACTTCATCGAAATCGAAGAACTCCATCTATTAGATTTAGTGTCTGTATATGAAAGATTCAAGTTCAAAGTGTTGGGGACTTGTGTCCTATTAGTAGCGTTCCCAGTGGCCATCACAAGCACAGATTGATTATAGATCCTGGCGTTGGAAAGACGAAAGTTTACATTATAGATTTGTCGGGAAAGAACAGCCTCACTAACCTCTAATTGTGAGTATTTGTCAATGGTGTCCACAGCAGCACTGAGACAACTTGTCTTGTCGTCAAAAGTGAGTCTTTTAACAAATTTGTAGTTCCCAAAGTTACGCAGAGCAATGGTGTTAGGTTTAACTTTGGTGGGCCAAAACAAAGTGTCAGAATTTTCAGATGTAGTGTCAGTGGAGTCAACCCAAATCCAATCAGAATTACGTCTCCAAAATTTTTCAAAGTAATTCGACTTTATACGAATACTTCCATCTTTTGTGACGAAGGTCTCCATCCAAACGGCGGGATCTCCAATATCACTCGATGAAAATTGTAGGTATGGACGACCATCAATGCGGCAACCACGAAGGTAGCAACCATTATTGCCTTTAAAAGCAACATATTTGGGCAGCGAAAGTAATGATTCCCAATCAATAATTGAATGGACATTAGAAATATCTCCACTAAAGGATGATTGTTTTGCAACTAAGCAATTCTTATAAGGGCCATCAAACATCCATGAGTATACATAGTAACCAAGATACACGTGACGAAATCGATACGCATCGTAATCGCGATCGTAGATAGCTTGAAATAAGGTGCACGTCCATTTTGATTTGTCTTCCTCTTTCTGACTTGCTCCTGTGGTGATAAAACTTTGGAATGAAGGCCAAGTGATGACCAAATATTTGTTGTTGTAACAACATCTTATATTGATCAAAGATGGGTCACATTTGGCTTGCTCTATCTCAAACTTGGTGTATGAAGTGAGAACTTGATCTCCACAATAACGCAGATCAAATTGTTGAGTCTTTGGATCTTCCTTCATATGGCACAAGTAACTGTGGTTGTACTTTGATTTTAGTGCCACATATCTTGGAAGTTGCACCATTTTCCTCTATTTTCTTCTTACTCTTCCTCTTCCTTTCTTCAAATACAAATTGAGTTTTGTTATTATTGTTGGTCTCATTACGATTTCTTGTATTTATAAGTTTAAACGTGTCTCTAAGTTTAGTGGATATGACAGCTATTATATTTTTAAAATTGAAAGGTTCATTTCTCATCCTATATTTCGGAATATTTTTTTAATACTCAGAGATCATTGAAAAAAATTCTGATTCATACTAAAAAAGAGTAAAAAGAGGGAGAATTAGATTCCACATCCCACTTTACAATATATATACTGGTTTTTATAGTAGGTGAAATTCATGGAGTATCTATACAATATTTTAAGATGGGAGGTATTTTCCTTCAAAATTTATTGTCTATCCAATATAGAAAAAAAAAGTGTATGCATTTAGTAGTTAATAGTTAATAAATTATACATGATTACAACTATTATTTAGTATGTATAAGTCGCGCATTCGAGTTCTCCAACTCCAAGCTAACGTAAGCTTAGATCAGCGATAATGGACACTTATTTCTGACCCAACCCATTCGTTGTATTCAAAAAAAAAAAAGTTCTCAACTCCACATTTCTAATGTTAATTATATAAGCAAATAAAATCATAAACTAAAAATAAATTTTACAATAATATTATTATCTAAAATAAATTTCTAAATTTTTAGTGATATTTCTTTTAAGAAAATTGCTGTACCGTTTTATATTTAATAAGTATATAAGTTTTTATGTATTTGATTAAATTTAATGGAATTCATAGATTTCTCTGTTAAATACAGAGGAGAGTTATTTGATTTCAAATTTAATTTTGTGTATTTAATTATGACATGTTAGAATCCTATAAATACCACTAATCAACCATTAATTCTCACTCTTATTTACGTATACAGTAACTCAAAGTTGCATTGGAGTGAAGAAAATTAAAGTTAAAAGGGTGTATTTTAGAGTAATAATAAAATGAGAATCAATGCTTGGTAACTCTTTTCAATTCTCATTTCTCATTTTTAATAAATTTTATTTCTAAAACTATATAGAAATTTTGGAAACAACAAATTTATTGTACTAATATTCATGGGTTCCATCTCAAAACCAATTGACTGAGTACTCCACCTACATTATAAATCATAGTTAGGTCTCTTATCTTTTCAATGTGAGATCCTTAACATGCCCTTCAAGATAGTGGTTATTTTGGCTCATCGATCTTAACCGGATCTCATTTTTGGACCGGATGCTCGTTTGAGCTTTTGGGCTCTGATGCCATATTAATATTCATTGGGTTCCATCTCAAAACCAATTTACAAAGAAAGGAGTAGTTCATGTCTATTATAAACCTAGCTTGTTAGGTCCATTTTCTTTTCAATGTGGAATCTTTAACATGCCCCTCAAAATCGTAGCTCTTTTGGCTCAGGTTAGATATCCATAAATGAATTAAATTTACCAAACCCAGATTAAGCTTTTGGGTTGAGTGGTGGTTTATTCATCCTTAATATGATATAAGAGCCCAACAAGCTCACACGAGTATCCGGTCCAAAAAATGGGATCAGACCAAGATCGATGAGCCAAAAAAGCTACGATCTTGAAGGGCCATATTAAGGATCCCACATGGAAAATAAAATAGACCTTGCATAGGTTTATAATATAGATGGACTACTCTCCTCATTACCAATTGATTTTGAGATCGAACCTCATGAACCTTAATATGTTGTTTCTGATTCCTGTTTCCAATATTTTCCAAAATATATATAAAAATATGAATATTTTATATGAAAAATTAATTTCATAAACTTTTACTTTTGTTAATCTAAAATTTCAGAGAACAAGAAATAGTTATCAAATATGTTTCTATTTCTTTTTGTCAATTAAAAAAAAACATGAAACAAGAAATAGTCACCAAATATAGTTCCATTTTTCTTGATTAGAAAAATGAAATAAAAAACAAGAAATAGGAATGGTTGTCAAACGGGTCTAACGTTCTTGTTCTTCGTTTTTAAATAGTTTTTGTTTTCAGCTTCTTTTGAAAAACAAATGCATTTAATAATAGTTTTATTATCTAAGTTGTCATTAAGAAAAAAAATCTTAAATTTGTACACAAATTTTGAATTTCTTTTTCTATTTCTTTTTTTTTCCAAAACATAAATAAAATTACTATTTTGTTAATTTTACTTTTAAAATGTATTAATATTTAAAAATTTAATAAAACACAATAATTTTGTTTCTTTAAAAAATTAATTATTAGGTAAAATTTTAATTTGTTAATTTAAAAATTGAGAGAAGAATAAAGAAAACAAATTAAAAAAAATTGTTACCAAATACGTTTCTCTTTACCAAACACATATTTGATAAATATTGATACTATCTCTACTTTTCTTTTTCAAACATTAAAAAAGGATACACAAAACAACAATAAAAATAAAATGAAACGTTACAAATTTAATTAGTTTTTGTTTATTTAGTCTATAAATTTAAAAAACAATTGACTAACGTCTCTGAACTTTCAATTTTATACTGATAAATTTTTCTCGTTAAAATTATTATTTAACTGTTTGAGCAAACATCATATTTAATAATAAGCCAATTTGAATAAAGGAAAATACCATGTTATTTGTTATCTTGATAGATTCTCTATGTGGAGATAAGAGGATCTATCTTTATCCTCACTTTAGTATATGAGTCTAAAAATATCAGGATGAAGCATCCTAACTTTTTAAATTATATTTTTGTTGCCTTTTTTTACACGAAAGTAAGTTTTCGTAAAAATATGTTATTGGTCAATAAAACTTATCATCATAATATATAGTCTTTAGCGAGGATACAAACTTCCAACTACTTGATTAAAGATATATGTCTTAACCGCTTGAGTTACGTTCAGATTTTACCTACATAATTATGTCTTCAAATTTTAAAATAAATTTCATTTTAACTCTACTTGATTTCAGTAACTTCAGATTCATTTGTTACGACTATTAAATGATGGAGTTACCTCATTTGTTTTCTACTTTCCTCCGAGCTACTAAGTATCTTTAATTATAGTAGCTCAACTGGTTACAACACTTATCTTTGATTAGGACGTCATGAGTTTAAATCTTCACCGTATACTAAAAAAAACTTTTAGTTCCTAATCTAATTTAAGTCAGTGATGTATAATGTAGTCCTATTATCTTCTGTATATGTCATTAACCATTAACTATACATGAATATTAATCGATGAGAAGACAAATTATGTCATTACTTCGTTAATTCATGACACAAATTTTAATAGGATAGAGTTTGGAACTTATTAAAATTAAACTAATTGAAAGAATATGATAGAACTTTTTAAATTTTAAATACCAATTTAGAAATTATATAAATTATAGGGATCAAGACGATAGTTTAGGGGAAAGCTTTTAGAGAAATTGGGGTGGGTATAATAATTTATAAAATATTTATATATACAACAATCCATTCATTTGACAGTTATATTAATTCAAGCTTTTAGAGAAATTTGATAGCATCCACCTCATTTATTGCCTCGGTCTTTTTGAGTTGACCTTTCACTATGGCATTGTCCATGGTCATTTCTTCCAACAACTCATGTACTCCAACTTTAGTTTTACTCATGAATACCCCTCCTCCAGATCTTGCATCAATCATAGTTCTTGTTCGTGTTGGAATTAATTTAATAATTAATTCATATATTGGTAACAAATTTAAGAGAAATTGTATTTGGACTATTTAATGGGTATATTAAGTGGTCTTGATTATGGGTCCAAGACTTCTCATTTAGTGGTGTGGCTTGCTGAGTAGAAATCAGCTCATTAACGTTTACAGGATTATGGGAAACTCTATGATTAATATATGGCTCTAATTTTAGAATGATGATAAATTGGAATTTACTTAAATTTTGCAACAGTTCCATCATCCAACCCATCATAACAATTCTGTACTTGCATCCATTTAGGTGACTCATGATGAATGCACTTCCTTAGAAGCTCCTTGTATCTTTCCCATACTTCATAAAGTGTCGCTCCCTCAAATTGCACAAAGTTGTTAATCCCAACTTGAATCTTAGTAGACTTACAAGGTGGGAAAGAACTTAGCAAGGAATTTTTTAGCCAAACCATTCCATGTCTGAATTGAATCTGTTGACAAGGACTTCAACCATTGTTTAGCTCGATCGAGAGAAGGGAAAGAGCCTTAATTTGATTGCATCATCTGTCATTCCATTGTATTTGAATCTGCCACAAATCTCCAAAAAATTAGATATGTGAGTATTAGGATCTTCATGGGGTAATCCAAAAAATTGTACTGAAGTCTGGATCATCTGAAGTGTAGCTGGCTTGATCTCAAAATTGTTCGCTTGAATTTTAAGCCTTCGAATAGCTGAATTGATCTCAGTTACATTTGACAACACATAATCCTTCAAGATTCGATTCTCATTTTTTCCGCCTTCTACTATTCTCTCACTTTCTTGTGCAACGTGCTCTTTCTTTTCTTTTCTATTTCTTCAACAAGTGCGCTTGATTTCAAGGTCAATAAGAAATAGACTGCTGCTTCCAAATTTTTGCATGCACTTGCTCCAATTTCTATATGAAACAAAAAAAATGAATTAGTMAACAACTAAAGAAAGTTCAAATTAATACCAAAGCTTTCAATTTCGACATTAGTAAAAATCTCATTCCCTAGTAACGGTGTCAAAAACTTGTTGTTCGATTTTGCAAGTGTACGAATCGTCACAAGTAATATAGAAATGAATAGAGTATTGTCTCCACGAGGAATGAATAATTACCGAACTCTCTACATTAGTTTTATCTAAACACCAAAAGTTTAATGGTGGTGAAGTAAATAAATAAAATTCTAAAAAAACTCTAGAGCTTGATTTCACCGATATCGACTTTTAACTCTTCCTACAACTTTAATCAAAACTTTCTAAATCAAGGTTGTTGGCGGATTCTACCTTATTGTCTCGATATTCTTTCTCAAGTAATAACGATTTTCTTCAAAAATTAGAG